TATGTTGAGTGAGCGGTCGCCATTTTTCTCATCATATAAATATTCGTCGCTACCTTTACTGATCATTCTCCGATCCAACATGGTGCAGCCCACGAATAAAGAAAATAACAAAGAAAATAGTCATATAAATCCAAATATATATAGCGGGGAATGTCAAGGATGGTGTAGAACATGTTATAACAGACACATATGAATTATATTTATAAAAATACTTAATAATTACAAGCGATAAGCGTGTAGACGGGCCGTAATATTCAGTACGTTTATCCGACATTTTTTCCGCGCAACAAAATCGCGCAGAAATCTGATCAGTTGCGTTCAGCGTACATTTTTACTGCTCACTCATCGAATACTCAACTGTTGTGCAACTGTTGAGCTTCGTAAACGCACCCATTGCTTTAGCGAGTTGACGTCAAAATGGCGTCGGAAAGTATACATAGTGCACATTTTCATAGACTAATTACTAGAGATGTGCGAACTATTCGAATTCGAATCGAATCAAATCGAATCTAATGTAATTCGATTCGATTCGAATCCGAATCCCTATGATTCGAATCCGAATAATTCGAATAGGAATCAAATACATTATCGTTTGCATCAGCTAGAAAACGGCCCATCTGGGCCCGTCTGTATGCTTAACTTGTAATTAACTTAACTTATAATTAATAACTTAATTATAATTTACATTAAATATTTAAATATATATGGTTTACTTTAAGATAATATTACAATATCAATATTCCCTTTCATATTAAAATCTTCCATCATTATTTGCATTTTTAATAGTCATATTCAATTTTCTAATGATTCGATTCGATTTCATTCGATTCAATTCGAATTCGAGTGAAATTTCATAGATTCGATTTGACATAAAAATTCTTGATTCGCACATCTCTACTAATTACTTGTAAAGTGCAATGTCCTACCCGCATTCTGTTTTAAAAGCGTCAAAGTCATTTTACCATTTGGCGGGTGCATTGTTATCGAAAATAAAAAAAATTATAAACATTCCGCTAAATGCTTTGATACCCTCGTGACTACACGTACGGATAATGTTCATAATATTATAAGTCTTTTTACAGAATTACGCGAATATAAAGAAAATATATTATGTTTTCCCACCATGGATACGTATAACATAATTTATAAGCCGCGAGGTATTATTTCGACAACAGGAAAGTAATTTACTATCCAATAAGTTGAAACTTGCTGAATTTGTTGATAAATGTTTACAAACGTTTCCGACGGCTTCTATTCCATCATGTCATAGTATTATCCACAAACTGCTTAAGACGTTTGTAATCGCACGAATACACTTTTCCTTGGAAAAAGACTGCGACAATATTGCAAAAGCGGTCGCTAATACTAGTCGTAGCGTTGCAATGAAAAAATATACTGCCAATGTTAAATGTCATGGCAAATAAAACAAATTTATTAATGTTCAATTGTTAGTATTTATTGTTTTCTCTTATATCTAACATATACTCGTTCAAAAACGTTAGTTTGAAGAAAGCCGCGTCTTGGCGTCAAAATGGCGGCTTTATATTATCTGGAGACTTTAGCAACAAACGAATGCGTGAATTCGGTGCCAGCGGAGAGAAGTTTGGAGCCGTAAGCCGCGACTGTGCTTTTTACCTCGCGAATGGCTCACTTGACATCAATTTCCTCAGGTGGCACGTCGAAAAAGTTCGACCCTACAAACTATATGAGCGGTGACCGCTCTCGGGTTCCTCTCCGGTACCAGTTAGAAACACGAATGTTACGATTATGATTTTGTTGAAATCCTCATTTTCCGGGACAGAAGACTCCAATTCCTGGACACGAGACAAGCCTAAGAATTCCGGGACATTCCCGGAAATCTCGGCCATCTGGCAATCCTAGCTGCGACCCTCCGCAAAAAAGGAGACCTCCCCCCCCGCTCCGCCTCCGAAGCTCACCGCGTCACCGCGGAAGCACGCGGCGAGCTTCGGCGAGCGGCGGCGAAGGGTTTCTCGTTTTTTCGCCAGCAACGCGTACTTTCACTGCGCGCGCGAAGCGTCGGGATAAAAAAGCGAGCGCGGAGAGACGAGAGGAGAGTGAGAGAGAGAGAGAGAGAGAGAGAGAGAGAGAGGAGAGAGATGAGAGCGGCGGTGCGATAGCCGGTGGCACGTAACCGCAAGGCCGCGGCCGGCGCGCCTCTGGGGGTCGAGTCGCCGGAGGAGAGACGGGCTGCTGCTTCAATTAATTGTTTCTTTATAATCGACCGAGCAAAGGGCGTAAATCTTCCCCTCAGCGTCTGCCAGCGCGGATCGCTAGCTCGCTAGTCTCACTGATTATTAACGCGCGATAACTCATCGGCTTTATCGCCCTTAACACGCCACGCCACCACCGTCTCGAGGTATCGTCGACGCACGCGCGCTGTATAATTTATCCGATAATCCCGTGAGTCGCACAGTGATTGGTCATCGATGTCGGATATAATTACCGCCGGGCGCGGGGGCGGGGGCGGGAGGGGGGGAGGGCAGAGATCCGGTCAGAGCGCTGTGACGTGAGCAACGCGCGCGTTGCCTTGGAGAGCGACGAGCGTGGCGTGTTGCGCCCCCCGGGGGAGAAAATTAATAGGCCGCGCGAGAAACGACGACGACGACGACGACGAAGCTTTCCTTAATGGCCACGCATTAGACAATAATTTACGACTGCCCGAAGTGGCGCGATAAATCTTCATTAGGCGGAACAACCGCGCGCGGATTCATCATATCGCCGTCCGTCGTCGCGAGCACGGCGACGTCGCGGCGTCGTCGGCTCTGGCAAGCGTCCGCGGACGCTCTCCTCCGCGTATCGCTGATCGGCCACTTCACACTTGACGTCCCGCGCGAGCGTCGCGTCGCCGACGATCCGAATGACGATATGATAATGGCGCGCGCGGCTGTCGCGCGATAAATTACCGTCTCGCGCGCCCAGTCAGAGAGACTCGCCGGGACGACTCGGCTTTTCCGGGGAAATTGTCAAATTGCCTCATTCAATCGCGCGATCGTAATCGCGCGATTGTGACAGTCGTTCTCTCTCTGTCTCTCTCTCTCTCTCTCTGGTCGCCGACGTGCGCGCTTTTTATCAGCGCATACCGCTGTAGATCCGAGTGAGTGTTTTGACATGCACAGGCGTGTAGTTTTCTTCACGCGTTTCTCCGTCGGTCTTTAGGTCACGTCATTTCATTCGTTTTGGATATCATTTAACGCGCTTAAACGTTTATTAAATGACGCTATTCGAGAGAGACGAGAGAAACATGCGAAGGGAACTTCGGCCAATTACATGCGCGTCGAAATAACACGCACGGATTTGCAGCGCGGTGACGCGGTCGCTTTTCATTCCGTGTATATACACGGGTTATTCTGTATAAACAAATTAAGAATCCGCTTCACATCGTGCGGTGCGCATTGAATTTCCTCTCGGATTTCCCGCGGTAAGTTCTCCGGTAGAAAATTCGGAATCGCTCATCACGCGGTACAGGGTATTGTTGCACAGCGCGACTGCAGGCTGGGCCGAAAATTCGATAACGGATTTTCTGCGCGCGTCCGAGTCGTTCTTGAAAAATTCTAAACAGCTCAAACTTTCGACGCCACTTCTCCCGTAGCATTCGGCATTGGACGTGTCTCGTGATAAATATTGTACATCAGTCACTAAACCGACGTATCGAAATATGTATTTCATTTTTGTGTTGGCGATGCTTCAATATTGCCAGAATTTTTTTTAAAGACGCTCGGGTCGAGAAAGCCTCGGAAACACGATTAAAAGATTAAAAGAGAAACGTTTGATTTAACTTCTGGATTCCAATGCTGCGTCCAGTGCTGGATTTGTTTCCGACCTTTCGTCCGACATTTCAGTTCACTTTTTCAGAAAAACGACGAGCTGAGGCTTCCTCCCAAAAAAATGAATTGAAATAAGACGCGCAACGTCGGAGAGAGATTCACGGTAGATGTGGCAAAAAAGTATCGGTTAAAAAGATTCTAGGTATCGAATATGGCGATCTATGGGTGTTTCATATTCCACGCGAGGCAAATCCGCGTGTGTTACTTTAACGCGCAAGGCGCGCAATTGCAGGCTGAAGCGTTCCCCTTCTACACGATTTTGCGGAAGAGGGCGGAGGGGGTTTCTAAAATTTTTCAATTTTGCAAAATCTGAATACACAGTTGCAAAGAATACGAAATATAACTTTCGTACAAGCCATTTTTTGCATATATTTTGTACTCTAAAAGATATACGTTAAAAATGAAAATGTTTTTTTTTTTCTTCTCGAAAGATGATTTCACCTCCTCAGACCGGAATTCCGCACGAACAAAAAATAATTTGGCGTTACGGACGAAGTACTCTACTTCCACACAGAGTTTCATAACTTTTTGAATTTCCGAGTTCCCTGTGTTTCCTTGTCAGTAACGTACGACGTGGCGAATTTGTTTCCGATAATTTTTCACGTCACTTACCGTTGACATGTTTCATTGTTTTCACGCGTCGTACCGTACTGTGAGCTTCGCGCGATTCGTGCGAGCCGCAGGAGAAGATCTAAGAGGATTAACGATAGGACTAACGGAACGAGCTGAAAATCGGGCGAAATGTGCAAATTTCGCCGAGCTCTGACTTAACATACTTGAACGTCATTCATGATTTAACACGACTTAACATGTTTGAACTCAATGACGTGAAACTCCAGGCGACAAGAGGCGTGCTTCACAGCCCACCGCTTGGCACACGCTTGTCCAAACAACACGCTCGGGTTTGCAGTTCCTCGAGAAGGAGTCCCCTCGCGGAAAAGTCGCAACTCGCGCGTGTAGCTTCATCGTCCGACACGTCTCCGACGCGGCGTTCGCGGCTCAAGGTCGCGGCCGCGATCTTACGAGGAGGGACAATCCGTCTTCGTTAATTGACGATCGCCCGAGACCCGAGCCGAGACTTTATCGCCGCGATCGTCCGCGTTGGTGCATCCGCAACGGGTTCTCAATCGGGCGCGTACCCGTTCTGCTCGACAGGGTACGAAGCTATGGATCATCATGGAGTACCTGGGTGGCGGCTCGGCCCTGGACTTGATGAAGGCCGGTAGCTTCGAAGAGATGCACATCGCCGTGATATTACGCGAGGTGCTCAAAGGGTTGGATTACCTGCACAGCGAGCGTAAGCTTCATCGTGATATTAAAGGTACGTCCAGTCGATAAGCTGCGAAGGGTGTTGCTTGACGACGTCCCACGATGCGCGCAGGTGTCGAGCGCTTTTCTCCGTTTTCTACGCGAGCCAATCTGGCCAGGCGCAGGCCGGGATATATTAGGTTGCTGCAAAAATAATCGCGGTTATACATAATAATTGCGAAAAGAGTCATTGCGGTGTTTATCGTTTTAAGTTTGGCGCCGATTTTTCAAGTCACCGTTGTCTTTCGTCTTGTAGTCATCATTGTGAACAATGAGATTGGCACTACTGACTTCAGCTTATGTCGAATAATTTCGTTCGCTCAAACTAATTTCATTCTTTAGTATTGTTGAATGTAACCTCTCAAGTCGGTCATGAAAGTCAGAGATCGAATTCGCGCGATTTTGTCGTACGAATTTAAATTGGGACGTAAAGCAACAGAAACTGTTCCAAATATCAAATTGGTTTTTGGGGAAAAGTCGGTCAGTAAGTGTACACAGCTCGACACTAGTTTCAGAAATTTCGTGATAGGAACGAAAGCCTTGAAGATTGCGAAGGTCGTGGACGTCCTTCGGTTCTAGACGATAATGATTTAAAGACCATTATCGAAGCGGACCCACGTAAGATTCCAGAATTCTATCTTGTAGGAATAAACAAACTCATATCCCATTCAGGCAGAAATGTGTGCAGGCCAGTGGTCTTTATTTTAATTAATAAATATAATTTTTAATTGATTCATGCGTCTTCATACTCGATATACATAAAAACCGCAATTTATTTTTGTTTATCCAACCTAATACATCGCGCTAATTCGAGTCCACGTAAAATTACCGGTATTTCATCAGCTCGGTACGGAAAATTCATATCTATTGGATAAAGCGCAATTTCGTAACTTACTGATACTTTCCAGCTATTCAAAAAATTGCATTAACCCCATTTCTTTTTCTACTTTAAGATATTCAGCGAAGTTTTTTTCCTAACTTTTTCTTAGTAATCAAATCGGGACCTTCCTGCAAGATAGAATTCAATCGAAGGACGGCTTTTTAAAGAAGTCGCGTCGATTCCGCTTTTTTTTTTCTTTTCTATTAAATTTTATTCAATTTAATTCATTTAAATTCATGTTTAAGATACCGCCGGTAAAATTTTTCCGTTTCTTCTTTAACAACCAAAACTTGCTCCCTGCGAGAGTTGGAACTCGAGTCGGAGAAACGACGAACTTTTCGTACCGACCTAAGACATCTCTTCCCCACTCTAATAAATGCGCGATGCGAGATTGATTGGTACGGTATTTTGTTCGACTATGCAGCGGCGAACGTCTTATTGAGCGAGATGGGCGACGTCAAGTTGGCCGACTTTGGCGTGGCCGGCCAGCTGACGAACACCACGAGCAAACGGAACACCTTCGTCGGCACGCCGTTCTGGATGGCACCCGAGGTCATCAAGCAGTCCGCTTATGATTCCAAGGTAATTATGTCGATTCCGTTGCACCACGTTGCGCCGCGACCCGTAATCGCTCCTTGCGCGAGCGTATTTATAAGAAGCGCTTATCTCCAGAATGGGCATCACTCGATGAGAGAAATGAGGCGCGCTGATCGAGCGCGACTGATGAAACTGGCCAAAATTCGTATCTCATTAAACACGTGTAAATATTTAGCAATGACATGTTTATACAAGGTTTTCGACATCGCTGATTCCATTTCTGACGTCAAAATTTAGAAATTCAAAATGACGGATGAAAATGCTAAAAAATGATCCGATTGTGCTGAAATTTGATATTAGTAGGTTTTCGGTAGCCGCTGATTTCGAATCTGTACTGAAAATTTAGAAATTTAAAATGGCGGATCCAATATGGCGGACGAACAATGCTAAAGATGCTCCGATTGTGGATTGACGGAAAAGAAATTTCAGTTGGTACAATCGAGTAGGAACCAAATGAAAATTTGATAACGAGAAACGTTTCTATTATCACAACCGAAAATATTCGTCTGAACATTCAGTGACATTAAAGCTCAGTTGCGGTAATTAAAAAAACTAGCAATTAAACCTTGTACAAGAGTCTTACTTACAACCTCTTTTGTTCAAACAATCGAGTTTCCGTCGAGGTCTCCAAACAATTAAACATTCAGTTACACTAATGGAATTTTTTTCCATTTTTCCGTTTCTCGCGTAGGATAAATATAGCAAAACAAAAGTATTTTTGCTGTTATATTCGTTTTATAAAGTTGATGGTTTTTCAGTTAGAAAAATTATCGAATTTGATGTATTTTCCATTGTTTAAGCATGAATAACTACTGATATATTAATTTTTAATACATTCTTGTTAAACATACTAGTTAAATCAATTAAATAAATAATGCCATCAGAAGCATGTGAATTTTGAGCCAATATAAATAAGTGCTTCAACGTGCCGCGCGTAAAGAATGGGGCCAATTCTCCGCGCGCGTGCGCTCTGTGATATATTTACAGTTTTCTGTGAATTAGCCAAAAAAGCGCAAAAAAGCGCAGACTCAATTTCAAGTTTACACCGAGAAGTGTACAGTGATACCTCATTTTTATAATTTAAATGCGGTAAGACGTTTCGGCTGAATGAGCGGAAATTGGAAAACAGAGAAAGTAACGCATGTAAAATCGCTTGCAGGTATGCATTTTATGAATTTTTGAGCTTTCTGTGCTACTTTTATGATAGATATACACAACGAGATGAAGAAATTGTCGATGTATAATTTAATTCCTCAATATATATTGAAATTTTCAAAAAGTTGCCGGACAATTATTAGTCATTCTCAAACGCATTTTCTCAATTTTAAAGATTTGCCAACGGAAGACTAACAGATAAATCGACTTGAAATTTTCACAAACGATATTTTAACTTATATACTTGATACCAGTGTACTTCATTAGGCGAAAATCTGAAACTGACTTTTGGCCAGTTTTCCGGGCCTGCTGGCCCACAGTTAGAGATATGTTTCGAAGCACAAATTTAGATGTGTTTTGAAAGCCAGTATCTGTTCGATCGCTTAACACACTCGTCAGTAGATGGCTGTTTCGCGGTTAACCCGTTACTCGTTACAAGAACGTCGCATGTCGATGGGATATAAAGACAGATGAAACATGAAGTTGTTATCGATATTGGTAAATATCTAATCAAAAGATATTTATGCGCTTCCTTTAATTTTACAAAGAGCCTCGATGCCGCGACCAAATAAAAGTTATGTCCTCAAGGTCCTCAGGTCAAGGAGCAAGGCTCCTTGCAAATAAAATCTCACTCACGCTATCTTTATCGTGGATAAAATCTGGAATATTGTTATACTTCTGCTCACGGAAAATAAGATAGAAATAAATTCTCCCTTACTTAGCGTCGATTTATCATTTTAATCGGTTTAATTTCATTTGCACCATGCGACCCGTAATCGCTTCTTGCGCGAGCGTACTTACACCGAGAGAAAATTGTATTAAAACTAAACAAAGATTTGTTCGAATACGACTGTGAATACATTTATTTAAATTAAGCAATTATTTTCTAAAATTCAAGAAAAAAGTTTACATCCAGAGAACCTCTGTGTTTCATTTTGGAAATTAGTCGCTTCGAACATATTTGTTTTTCAAACAAATATTTGTTTAATTTTAATACAATCTTTTCTCAGTGTATAAGAAGCGCTTATATCTCCCGCATGAGCATCGCTCGATGAGAGAAATGAAACGAGATGTGAGGCAAGACCGACGGTTATAGATATATTTCGAAACACAAATTTAGATGTATTTTGAAAGTCGGTATCTCTTCGATCACTTGACACTCGTCAGTAGATGGCTGTTTCGATAGCCCGTTACTCGTACAAGAACGTCGCATGTCGATGGGATATAAAGACATGGATGGAACATAAAGTTGTTAACAATACCGGTGATTATCTAGTCATTATTTGCATAACCGTTAACTTTTCTCGAAAGGAGCCTTGATTCCGCGACCAAAACGAGCATCAACTCGTCAAGGTCAATGAGCAAGGCTCCGCAAATGAAAGCAAACAAAATCTCATTTGCGCTATCTTCGTCGTGGATAGAATCTGTGGAATATTGTTATATATTTTAATTCACGGGAAATAAGATAGAAAGTAAACTCTTCCTCTACTGAGCGTCGATTTATCGTTAATCGCGCTTTTCCGCTGGCCTCCCCCTCATTTTCTTTCTCATTCTTTTCTTCATCTCTCCCCGCCTCGCTATCTCTTCTCCCCTCTTGCGGGCGCGCGCCTCCTCTGGCAATTCTCGAAAATCGTCTCCACGCCATGCGCGGCGGGTCACGCTTTCATTAGCGTGTCGTTAGCGCCTTCGTCCGACAAGCAGCGAGTCCAGGAACGCTTATTCCGCAGGCTGACATTTGGTCCTTGGGCATCACGGCGATCGAGCTCGCGAAAGGGGAGCCGCCTAACAGCGAGCTGCATCCCATGAGGGTCCTCTTCCTAATACCCAAGAACAATCCGCCGCAGTTGACCGGGAATTACACGAAACAGTTCAAGGAGTTCGTCGAGGCTTGCCTCAACAAAGACCCCGAGAACGTGAGTACACCGTTAAATACGCGGCGCTGTCCACGCTCCGATTTCATCGACCCCGTCGAGGCGGTCCTTTCAACGCGACGCATCGAAGGCTTCAGCGATGCGTCGCGTTCAGCGAGGACCCGTGATCCTCGCACTTGACTGCGAAAGTAGTCAATTATTACGAAGAAATTGCCTTTGCAATTTAAATTTTTCCAATCACCGGCGGAATCCTCGTAATTTCGTCCGAACGCGCGCGAACGAGGGGAAGGTTGAAACTTGAAGCCAACGTGAACGATCGGCGAGCCGAGCACGTTTTCGTTGCAGGGAACGGAATTTCTGGCTCTCACAGCCGAGTTTAATTCGTAAGAGCCAGGAATTCTCCGTTTCCCTCCCAGCCGAGAAGCGCTTCGGTTCGTTCGTTCGTTCGTTAACAAAAATTCAGCCGGTATTTTTCTGTCCGATATTTTACAATGAAAAAAGACCAGTGCGAGATATTTTATTTAACGTCAAATTTAACGACACAAATTTATGAAGAATTGACGCCGAGGTATATATCAATAATTCGTCCGTCTTTGCGCGCTTGTGCAGAGGCCAACGGCGAAGGAGTTGCTGAAGTTCCAGTTTATCCGAAAAGCGAAGAAGAACTCGTACCTAATCGACCTGATCGACAGGTACAAAAAGTGGAAGTCGCAGCGCAGCGAGGAGTCGGAGACCGAGAGTGAGAATTCGGACTCGTAAGTATCTCGCGATTTGTGTTTCCGTCGCGCTTCTTCGCGGAAAGTAAAAACCAGCGCCTCGTGCTGCTCATTTTCATTCCCCGTTGCTCTGCGCGCACCTTCCGGATTCTCTTCTGACGTGTAACAGTCGAACATTGCCGCACGCAGAAAACTATTCAGTTGATATAACTGAACTTCAGTCACGACAACCGAAACTTTCGGTTCCTCAGGAACCAGGAAGTGAAAATTCAGTTGTAATAGCAGAAAAATTCCGTTGGAAGGTTCCCATTGTCGTAAAGATATATTCGGTCACCTCAACTGAACATTAAGTCGTCAAGAATACAAGTTTCATTCGTCATAACCTACAGCTCAATTCATGTTATCGACTGCCTTCACATGGATGAAACCAAGCGTCCCTGTGTAGGTAAGGTAAATGTACCGAATTGCGCCAAATTACGCCATCTTAGCTTGTCCCGTGCGCATATAATAAAGCACAGCTGGGTAAAAGTGTCTAAAAATCGCCGGAAAGCAGTCGTGATAGTGTGTCAAATAGTTCCGCTAAAATAAATATACGAAAATATAACGTAATTTTCCGTGATAAGCAATTTCAAGAGTCTATAATATAACCTATAATGTGATAAAATGAAATTTTTTTCGGTACTAATATAAAGTATTTTAGTTTTCTACGATTAAGATACAATAAAAGATAATAAACAGATAAAAGATTATAAAGTTACATGGTTTTTATATAATATAATATAGATGGAAGATTTATGATACACGCAAAAAAATGATACCACATGTATGAAACCGCCATGAATATATAGTAACATGTTTAATTATTTATAATATTAATAACTATAAATAATGTAGTAGGTGTAGTAAGTAGTAAATAGTAGTCTCCCATTAATTAATTCCGAACTTCATAATAGAAAAGTTGCATATGAATAAATTAAGTTCATTTATTAGCATTTACGACTATGTAATAGGTAAAATTTATAATTAAATTGATATTCTATGAAAACGTTATACATTTATTACAATGTAATGTTTTCAGACAGATGAATGACATGAGAAAACTTGCACTTAGAGAAATAACAAATTGCAGAAGAGAAAAAGTTGGTCCGAAAGAAGCTTCATGATGAAAAAAATAAGGGAAACATTAAACCAATAAAAAAAAACAAAAAAACGAGTTCAGATTAAATTTAAATGCTTAATTTCTCATAGATCAACAGATAATTCAAAAAGTTATTTTTCTGACAAATCAAAAAAGTGTAACATCAATCTATGAAGAATTACATTAAATTACTAAATATGTTTGAATAGACAACAGATGTAAAAATTTCATTTTTTTTTCTTATTAAACATATAATTATGTATGCTGAAAACAAATGAGATAGAGTGGCGTCATTTGGTGCATAATCAGTGGCGTAAATTGGAACATTCTACAATTTCAGTGGATGTAATTCGGAACGTTTACACTTGATTCACACTTGATTATTTTATATAAATAAGTAATCTTGTTCATTTTTAACTTATATACGCGTTTTCGTTAATTTACGATAATAACTTTTAATAAGATTCACAGTCTTACTTAACATCACTTTTCTTTTTAAAAAGTAAACTCTCAAAAATTATAGTTTTAGCTTAAAGTGACTTTCGTAATTCGATACGTTTATCTCAGGGAAATCTGGAAGAATAAAACGCACACACGAGTTCAGGATCGCATCATAGGCGGCGTTATTCAACTTTCGCAGACAAATCTTTTCGGTCGCGGTAACTGAGAGATTTCGTTTCTCTTTACTACATATACACGATATAGTTCCATGCTTTCTGCGAGAGCAGCCGAATACTCTGCTGTGGCTGTTGTATTTTCGCGACTGAAAATTTCTGTTTCTTCAGTCGAAAACAATTGTTGATACGAATAAGTTCTTCGACGGCGGCGAAACAGAATTTTCTGTTACTGCAACTGAATCTTGTGTAACAGAAAATTTCCAGTTGTCGTAACAGAATATTTTTCTGCGTGCGGGACAAGAAGAACGGGACGTGTTGCGGAGCGCGAAACGAACGGTCACGGTGAACGCGACGATTAGATATGTTTGTGTATGAACACAATACAAAAGAAATGTCTCTTGATATATTCATCGATAGATGTCTATGTCGATGGCCTGTTATTTGTACACAAAATTCACACATTGATCGCATATAAAGTTGCGAAGTATCATAACAATTTTGTAACATCATTTTTTAGTGAAATTTTCAAAACGGAACTTCAACTCTACGACTGAATTTATTATCTATCCTAGATAATAAATTTCTCTTAAGGAGTTGGGCTCCGCTCCAAATAAAGACAAACAAAATTTCACTTATATCATTACGATTTCAAGTAAAAATACCAATTAAGAGAGAGAGAGAGGGGGGGAGGGAGAGAGGCAACGTGCACGCGGTATATATTCTCGCCGTCGTCCGCGAAAGGAAAGGAAACGTCCTCGAGGAGGTCGCGTTTGTCAATCGCGGAGGCACGATAGCTCGCGTCCCCGAGCGCTGGCAAATTGTAATCCGCCGCGTTTTTACGCTATTCAGGGAGGAATCCAAGCAAGACAGCGACATGGACGAGCCGTGGATAATGACGGTGAAAGGCCCGCACGGGGTCAAAGGATCCGTGGTGCCTATGCTGCCGCTGGACGAGCAGCCAACATCCTTGACCCTAACACACACGAATCACAGGTCCTCCAATCACAGTCAGGCGGGCAAACCGCACGCGAACGGCGCCTCGCGATCGCCGCCGAAGGATTCCACGCTGAATCACTACAGGAGCGAGTCCAGAGATTCGTTGCGCGATGGCCAAGCGAAACCGGTGCGTTTTTGCTTCCCGTACTCTTTCGATATTGTTCGATATTAATCGTAGATTTCAATTGTGTATTTCAAGATAAAATACGCTTGGAAATCTGCATAGATCAGCTGTTTTAAAAGAGTCTACATTGATAAATTCACGCGAACTTTGAACTGTCGTTTAAAAAGGTCTATACACTATCTTTATCTCTTTACCTTTTCATCAATAATATAATATATCTTGGTCAAATATAACAAACTAAACAAAAAAATTGTGATTAAAGTAAAAAGTGAAATACTCGCGGAATACTTGATTACTCAGAAAATTACTTGCTTATTTATGGCTATCTGCGATTAACGTTCTTTCCCACGCTGATGCCCTTTCTCTCTCCCTTTGCAGTCCCGACCACACGAGGCCGCACCTCCGCCACCGGTGGACACGAGAGAGAAGCGAGACGACCGAGATTACCGCGACTCCAGCCGAGAGTCCACGCTTAGAGAGCCGAAGGAGATCCGCGATGGCCGCGAGAGGGACAGAGACGTCCGGGAGCGAGAACGGGATAGGGAGGGTAGAGACCGGGAAAGAGGCAGGGACTTCAACACGCGGGAGAAGAGGAGAAACAGCAAACCGGAAGTGCCCATCGCCCCGATGGTCGATCACAGATCCAGCGAGGACAAGCAGAGGCCGAGGAGCTCGCAAGAGCTGAAGCATCCGCGAAGCGTCGCTCTGTCCGGTGTGGTCTTGCCTTTGCTTTCCGAGGTATGACGCCGAGGAACTCGTTAACTTACGCGAAAGAGTACGGGAGGAGAGTAGTAGAAAGTCCAATGAGAATATCTCTCGCGAAAGCGAGAGCGACTGACCGCTTGCTTCTTCTTCTTCTTCTTATCGATCCCACGCAGCTTCAGCGAAAGCATCAATATTCCGCGAGAGACAATAACGGCGAAGGCGGCAGTGGCATCGGCAAGAATGGCGGCGTTATAGAGGAGCTGCGCGGCGCCTTCGAGTCGGCGGAACGCACGTCGCCGGGAATGACGGAGTCGCTTATTCGCGAACTGATCAAATCTCTACTTCCGCCCAATCACTCGGAAGGCCGTCTGTCCATGCTGATGGAGAAGGTCATCTTGAGGTAACGTTTAATGGATTACCCGTCTAGTTCGCGGATTACCCCCCTCCCCCCGCCCCCTAACCCCCTTCCGATTCAACAATAGAACGCGGATCCATTCAAAGAATTACGTTGCAGTCGCAGACACAGTGACGTCAGTGGTCCCTCTGTGTAACACGACCTTTGGAATTAACCTTTGGAATTACGTTTATGTTGTATCGTGGCAGAAAGTTATAACGCATGCTTTGTTTTTTTTTTTTTTTGCAACATATCGTATTTATCCGCTTAATCCAGTGCGCGAACGCGGCACAGATTGTAAAACTTGCATATAATTCCGAGACAGTAAGAAGATGATTAACGCCAGCCGAGGGTCTAGCCTTTTCTGACGATTCTGAAGATTCTGTTGCGTATGAAGATAACACAACGAGTGTCCTTCTTCTTCTGTTTCAGGGATACGTAGGGACGCGAGAGAGCGAAGGTCCGCAAGAGATTGTGGTCCCAAAACATCCTGACGTTGTAAAACCATTCGTTATTTCTCTCGACTTACCAACTTACCAATCAGCACGAGCCGAGTGTCATCGTCGATTCGAGTGGCGATTCCGAACGTGAACGTGAAGGGAACGTATTCGTTACTTCCCCACGCCCCTCATCCGCTCCCATCCCACGCTTCATCCCCGTAATCCCAGCCGTGTACCCGCTGATCTATGAAGACCACGCTACAACGAAGTCCATCGAAATTCTACGAAGTAGTCTACTGAACCCGCCTCGTCTCCACCTACCTACCTACTTACTTACTTACCTACCTCGCCGTAGGATAAAAATACGTAGACGGCAGACGCACGCGAAACGTTGTGCCAGTGTTCTTGCAGTTCCTACTCGTCTAATTGTTATCGACCCTGTCCCGAACTATTTCGATTGGACTGCCACATTTGCGCGCTCGTCCGTTCCCCGTCGTCGGCCGACAGTCTGTTTTATCAACGGGTCAGCCTTCGTTCCACAACTTTTATTCGGCCTTTGAAAAATTGTTTCTCTTTTCCCTTTCTTTTTAACGTCTTTAACTAACCTGTGAAGAGGTGGGAGAACGTGAAGTTTTATATTTTGTACTGAGAGAAGCCAAAACACACGATACAGAAGCGCACCTCAACCTTCGTGGACTCGTCGGGTTCTTCTTGAAAATCATCGACAAAACGGAACTGTCGGTCGATCCCAGCGCAATCTTAGACGGTTAGGACGGCTCTTCGCCGCTGGTAGATGAAACAAGCGCAGTGAGTTGCACGAATAACCTTAGAGCTTCTCCCGACAGCGTATTCGATTTGATCTAGCTCTAGGACCTGTCTCGCAAGATAACTAAGAAAGAGATAAGAAAAAAAAAACGTAACGTTCTCTAGCGATTTCATGGCGATCAATTACTACGAGTAGAGAAAGGCGGAAATTAGACGACGGCGTGTTCGCGAGAAGGCTGAATCGAAAGTTCCGTTACGCGATAGCACAGTACACCTGTCCGATAAGAATTCCTTGAGCCTCTTTCATGTTCGGCACGAGCACGACGTCCGGCGATACGAAAGCGAAACTGTACAGACTCGGTAGAAGCGGATTGGCACAAGGAGTATTCGACGACTTGGTCTTGCCTCAATGTAGATACGTCCGCGGCATGCACTATCGAGTCACATCGAACACACAGACGTGATCCAAGTGAGAAACAAGACATGGAAGAAGCTCTCGAGGCTGCTGCTGAGGGAGCTTTGAGGGCGGCGCTTCTATGACGACACGATGTTTTTACAAATAGCATATTTATTTAATGGCGCGTTTCGGTGAGAGAAAGACAGAGAGAGAGAGAGAGAGAGAGAGAGAGAGAGAGAGAGAGAGAGAGTCCTGTAGCAGCCGAGCTAAAGAAAGAAAAAAAAATGTGTTCTCAGAGTAGATTCCTTCCCGTTGCTTCCTACGCTAGTGCACGTTTCGGACGCGAAGAAAGAGCAGGTTTAAGAAGTGAGCTCTAGCGTTAGCGGCTAGAGGCGTTGTAAATATGTATGTAGCGCGATAAGATAGTCTTATTGTTCTGATCGACGTCTTTACCAACCGGTCGCACAGCTCCGTTGAACGATCTTGTTATCCTCGAAGAAGAGATTCCTTTCCTCATAAGTCATCGTTCGTCATTGAGACAGGTGATAGACGACGCGTAGGCTACGTAGGCGAGTCGCCGTTGCAAATTTATCGGGGAGCTTTTATCGTTTCGTCGGTGTAGTTTCTGCTTGTTGCGTAAATCGCAGGTATAAACCGTTACAGCAGCCGTGTTTCAACAGCCGCGCGCGCGACATACTAGCGTTCGAGTGTGTGTGTGTATATATGTATGTGTGTATATACATAAATACAAATACGTACATATACACACATATATATATATATGTGTGTGTGTGTATGTGTGTATGTGTGGGTGTGTGTGGGTGTGTGTATATATACGTATATATGTATGTGAATATGAATATGTATATACATACATATACGCACATTATACATATATATGTATATATACACATACATATTATGTGTGTGTATATATATATATATATATATATATATATATATATACATATACATAATTAATTTCTAGTTGTAAAAATCTCACTTAAAAGTCGATGAAGAGCAAACGCTATCCTAGAACTCTATCTCGTCTCCATTATACGTAGAAATCGCGAAAGACGCTCCGATCTTTCCGCCGCGCCTTAATAAAGTATCGCATATGTCATTTTAACCGGAAACAATAACCGAGTCATTGCACGTTGACGCGCAACAACACGTTAAACCGTTCGGGCGCCCTCGTCAGATTGCGAAGAATTGTAATGGCGAGCGCGCGACTTCCGCCTGAGAAGGAGAGAGAGAGAGAGAGAGAGAGAGAGAGAGAGAGAGAGAGAGAGAGAGAGAAAGACGAGGCGAGGATACGCAGGCACTTTTTCCAAGTTTCTTTACTTCTCGAAGAAAGTTGACGTGGAATGACCCGACAATCAATTCAGGTGGCACGAGAATAAAGCGGCGTTTTATCGCCGCCTGCTGCCAGGGAAGCACGAGGAGAGAACTTCGCGAACTTCGAATGTGCGACGCACGTTTCGTTACACGACGACACACATACACACACATACACACACGACCGGATACAATTATACCTCGACTTGAGTTCATTTCGCCGTTCTTCCAGCTCTGAATTTTTGCGTCGAACAACACACAAATTGCCAACTGAGACCCTTTGTTTCTATACTACGATCGAGTCCGAGCTGCGATGACTCCCGGAGGGCGTCGACACTTAATCCACATTGTTTGTATAAACTAATGTATTTTATAAAATATATTATATATAGAGAGAGAGAAGAGAAATTACACACACACACATACACGCGTGCGCTTGCTCACAAGCGCGCGTGTGATAAGGATGGAAGAGAGAGAGAGAGAGAGAGAGAGAGAGAGAGAGAGAGAGAGAGAGAGAGAGAGAGGAGAGGAAGGGGGAATATTACATAGAATGTCATCTACGGGTTGGTCGCAGAAAAGTTTCACGAGCAAAAGGCACGCGTTGCAGGACGCGATGGCCATTTCGTGCGCGATGATTCAAAGGGAGATCACGCGAGAGAGTGGTGAGACGGAGCACGAGTGAGAGAGCGAGGAGAGACAGAGTAACTTCTCACGAGTAGAGAGGGCACGCCGATTAACGGCAGGAATCGATACGTAAGAATGGCAAGGAGACTTAATTACGTTACCGAGAGCGATTTTACCGCGCCGACTTAGAGATTTGCTTGAATTTCGAGGATATGTATGTACGCTTACGTCTTCGTCAAGACACACCACGACGGACTGGAAATAGTGCTATTCACTCTTCAACGGGGTCGAGCCCGTTTATCTTTTCGTTCACACGACAGCAAGCCTTCGCGAAGGAGAAGCGACTGCGAAACATGAGAAACCTCCGCTCTACCATGCCTTTTCTCCGTTCACCGTTCTGCCTTTTCCACCGCCCGTCTAGATGAAGAGAGTACACATCGGAGTACACGATATGTATCGAGTATTTACTTTTAGGCTTGAGTTATACGTTAATTATTCGTTACGTTGTATCTCGTTAATACGGTCCCCCGTAATGTCGACTAATCAAACGATTCCGCTTGAGTTTCTTGCGTTAGGTCGTGAGAGAGAGAGAGAGAGAGAGAGTGACTTTTATCGCGCGATCGAGCAAATCGCCTTTGCGACTCGACTTGAATTATCGTCTTGTCGTTCGGTCTCACAGTTCGGTCAAGTCTCTCATCATTTCCTTACGGCGATCGCCAGCCGCGATAGGCCTCGCTGCCATAAACGCTTACATCGTGTTGTTGCATCGCGACGCGGGGCGTCTCCGCGTCGAATCTGCGAGGGAGAAAAGACTTATGGCTGTGTAAGCAGTACACGTTCTCGTTAAGAAGAAAATTAACCGCGCGGTAATAAGCCGCGCTCGAGAGATTTTACGTCGCTGACGTGTTCACCAGTGCGATCGAAAGCACGTCCTCTCCGTTGGTCGTCCTCAGTCGGGACGAAGGTCGGGAGGGCTCGGGAGAGTCGCGCGATTTTTCTCGCTCCCCCCGGGGAAGTCGCCCCCTCCCCCCGGCGTTATCAGTGGCGGGAAATCTTCATTTCCTTTATCACTGCCGGTTCAAGCGTGTCGGCGCGCTTTAGCCGGGCGGGTCCTCGCTCGAGATGGCGACTGATGAGGACACGGTCGGGGGGAAGTTTCGTTACAGGGGAGGACGTTTCCCGGAGAAATTCGCGGCCTCGAGCCTTTTTATTTACGCGTAGCCATACTTAATTCAGCTAAGGTACCGCTACTTTGTTTCTTCAAGCACGTCTCGCGAGAACGCGCGAGGTGATCGAACGCTGAACGCTCGTTCTTCCGTTTCCTCGAGCGCGAGAATGCGCGCACCGACGGAGGAGGAGAAACGGTTGATTTCGTTGATCGATTGAATCGACTAATGATTCATTTCATCCTGAGTCTTTTATCACAGTTACCGGTCATTCGTTTATTGTTCTAATAGCGCCGCGCATGCATCAGTCACTACGCTGTAGGAGCATTTATTAGAGAAATGGGTTAGCTCGGATTACGATTGCTTGACGATGCGATTATAGCGTGATGTAAAAATACTTAATCTTTCTCAGTGCATATCGCGACGTACGAGCGAACGGACGAACGAACGAACGAACGAACGTACGAACGAACGAACGAAGGATGTCGAATTTGTGATCTTCGATTTTTACCGAAGCTCCTTGCTTTTTTTCTTCCCGTTTTATCTGTTTTTTCCTTTCTTTCCTTTAGCGTATTATGTTTGTTTACGTCGATCGAGCGAGATTTTCCATATCCGGGATCATGACGAGACGGATGCGGCAAGCCGGCGCATCCGCTCGTTTGTCGGCGGTCTCGAGAGAAGAGGTCCGCTCACACGATTCGCGAACCGCACCACATTCAATCCGAATTACGTGTCCTACCGTATCCAGCACTCTTCTTTGTATTATACTCTTAGCTACTATCCATCTAATATATTTAACATTATAACATTGTGGTAAAACAGAAAAAAAAACATTAATATCTCTCGGCGTAGAGAGTCATAAACACATACACACACACACACACACACACACACACGTACATACGTATAAACAAATACACACACATATGTATATGTATATATATATATATTTTTTTTGTATTTTAATTCTACCTTGGCTGCGTTGGACTGTATTATACTGATTGTATGTGGCATGCTGAGGGCGTGTACAAATACGAAATAAAAATTACATAAAACACGCAGTGCTTCCTCACTGGAACCTCCTTGACCTCCTCACAGACCATGCTCTTTTGCAGCGTTCTCGACTGAAGCGAATCGCCCGCGAAGTGATGTACTGTATCATACGTTGTACTTTGTATGAGTATTATTTTATATTACGGTGTATTACATTGTATTTTAAGACGCAATAGAAATAAAAGTTGGTTGGATTTCAGCCATGTTACTTCCCGTTATTTATTGTCTCGTCTCTCAAGTCGTATTTCTGATTTCCGAGCAAAGCTCGAAACTCGAGCGAATTCGTTTGGATTAATCGATCAAAACGGTTCGATTCTCAGTTAAATTGGTTCAAGTCTTGGCTTTGATTTTGTATCAGCAACGTGATGCGTGAGAAAAGGCAATAAATGATAAGAAAAGAGAATGTAGTTGGGATTGATAAACAAAACAAAAAAAAAGAACTTTTGTTTTCATGCCAACGCTGTCGTTAATCGAGCTTGTCTTACTAGACCCACATTGTTGAGAGTCTTTGCTGACTCTGCGTGAAATGTGCATCCAAGCTGTAGAGCCCTTCGGCTATGCGGAGGAAGCTTCTTCCATTGTTCGTCCCACGCAATCCACCACGTCGAATAATATCGTAGACATTTTATCCCTGAAAAAAGACTGTACTGTCGTTTTAGCAAAAGTCGACGTCGTGCCAATTTACTCTTTTGCATTATGAATATTGTATAGCTTTTTGTCATAATTTGAGAAGATGAAGAAAATACGGTAAAAGATAATTGTAATAGGCATTGATGAACAAAACGGCATATTAATTTTACTCAAAATTATATTACGTTTTACGTTAAATATATACAAAACTTTTGAGACAATAATGTGTCGCCTGTATGTGTGTGTTTATGACATTGACAAAATTTTCA